GGAAAGCCTGCTTCACGGGGCATGTCTATTAGGGACAGGAGAATTTAAATACAGTCAAAGCCTCACTGGAGGCACTAAACATATGGGTTGAGGTGGAAGAAATTGTCCTGAAAACGTTCAAGTACTTCACGTGTGCGGCAATATTTTCATTTTCACAAGTCTGACAAAAAATAAATGGATTGCAAAATTAGCAGAGAATCAATAAAAACCAAGTCTGATAATGCAACCAACTTGTTTTATCATAAAGTAATTACATAATACGGCCAGGGCTGCACTTAAAATGTATTTTCTACATTTCTCGTTTCCTACAATGATTGATATCGATCAATGGGTTTTTTAAATTGATACACCTTTTTTCTATATTGTCCATCCCTGGAAACAAAGTAGAATCCAGCTGCTGTTGTTCATTTGTTGTTGTTATTTATAGAAACTATATGCATCTGCAGGGCTTTAGGCCCAGGGCAGAGTTTTAGACCTCCGACCTAACCACATCCAGACCTGTTAATAATAATGTGTATTATTTACACCAATCAGAATACTCAGTAATGTTCAGACATCCAGACCTTGGAGATTAAATAAAATCTATATTAAAATTAAAAATGATCAATATTGTTTCTTCATTAAAAGATCAGTTATCTGTGACCACTTTTCTACTTGATGTTGTTCAGCTGAAGCAGACGTCGGCTTATTTCTAACAGAGCTGAGCTGTGGGAGAAAACATTCAGATTATTTCATCTGATTTTCCATCACCTGTGGGTTTAGTGCATTCTCTTAACTCATTCACTGCCACGGACGACTAAAGCAGTCATTTGCATGTTTTTACTGTGTGGGCGTCGGACGAGCCCCCGCACCGGGAGAAAACACATCTCAGCTCTAAAGCCGATCTTCATCCGCATACGTCACACGTCACGTGATCAGAAAGCAGAACATCCACGTGTTAGGAGATCGTTTTGGGCCGCTGCTGTAAAAAAAGTGAGGCGCGAACCGGAAAAGCGTCTGCCGATCACAATTCAACAACGGATTATGAAAGAACGGATAACGCTCGAAACGCACGGATTCTTCCTGATGTAAGAGGTGAGTCTCCGCTTTGTTTTGGTGTCGACATCATCCCAGCGCAACGTTCTGTCACTCTTAAAAAAACAGTAAACATGGTGAGAAACGCTGGCAGTGAAGGGCTTTACCGATCAGGAAACGGCTGGCAGCGCACGAGTTAATATTAATTATAAAACTATAAACAACAGGTCACTACAGTCTGGGCTGGAACGTGTTTCTAGGAACAGAAGGGGAAGAGGAGAGGGCAAACAGCCAGAGACACACAGAGGGACTGGCTGATGGTAACGTTTTAGAGCTGAACTGGGAAAAGTGTGGGAGTTGAAACACCCACATCCCCCTACGGGTGAGACAGCCGTGATATTATTGCTCTATCAACCTCTGTGTTGTTTTTATCTCTGTTTTGTTGCTGTAAGGTGTCCTTGGGTCTGAGAAAGGCATCATGAAATAAAATGTATCATTGATCTCATTAAGAGGGTTTTGCTGCTCGGGCAGAACAACAAAATATGTTTGGGCTGTTTTAAGAAAGCAGAAACACAATTTCATCTTGGTTGTTATATTAGCTCATCAGTTCTGAAGAGTGGGAACCACTTATAGAGGAATTATTTATCCAAACCACATTAATGCTGATTTGATCTAAACAGAAATGGGACTCATTCAACCTGCAGATGTCCAGAGCTTTCCTGGCGTCTCCAGACACAGCAGACACCTTCCTGGCACAAAACTGGACAGCAGAGGCATCCAGAAGAGCCTCAGCTGATGCCTAAGAGACATGAAACACAAACATATGGTTAACAAGCCCCCCAGTAATGTGTGCCTTGCCACCACCTGAGCTGCACCAACCTGGGTGAGTCTGTCCTGAACAATGGCTGCCAGCTCCTGTCGGCTGTAGGGAGGGAAGTTCAGCAGCAGGGGGCGTTGGTGAGGCCCGGCCTGCAGTCTGGGCAGGATGCGATCAGTCAGGTCCAGAGCATTAGCGATACCTAAAATGAAAAATTCACCAAGTGAATGAATGACGTCACCCAGGAGACTGCACAGGTCTATCTCCACTGGTCATTAGGGATGGACGATAGGGCCTCAAATCTATACCGCCATGCGCACCACCAATATTTATCCTGATGACTCTTTGTGAACATTCAAATCAGAAACATGACAGGAGAAGCAAGACTTCTGAACAGTACGCAGGTCCTTCAGAATAGCATTTGTAGAGCAGAAGTTTAAGGATGCTCCCATCAGGTCTTATGCTGCTGATTGTCAATAATCATTTCATGTTGATTGATTTCCTTCTAATGCTTTTATTTTAATGTCCCACACCATATTTGTTCTTATGTGATTTTATGATAGTGTATACATGACCTTAAATGACCTTAAAAAAGACTTGCAGAACAATCAGTGTGTGTGTGTTTCTGACCACAACTTCTGAGCCTCCTGCTCACAACCCGAGGTTTAGAGCTGAGGGAGCCTCCGGATCAGGGCTAGGAAACCCCAATCGTGGAGAGCATGTTTTAGTTTTCCCTGAAGCAGCAACGTTTCAGTCAAAGGAAACCTAAACCACTCAATGCAGCTGCCGTCAGGAACTATCTGAGGCAAAACATTAAAGGCATCGACCAGACAGCCTGAAAATTGGAGAAATTCAATTTAACTTAATTTTATCGTCTATATAAAAACAAAGTTGGGTTCTTAAGGAATTTTGTCATCAATCATCATAGAAAATCTAAATTCTCAATGAAGAGCTGTCTTTAGCAGACGCAGCAGGAGGCATTAGCGTTTGTAAGCACTGGTGCTACGCCATCAGGGTTTGCTCCAGCGTGGCCCGCCAGGCTTTCATTAGCTGTACTTAGCTACTCATGATTTGCTGTAGTTTATGTAACTTAGTGGCCTCAATGGTTGTGGATAATTGTTTAAAGCTGCAGCAAAAGGTCTGAGCCATACATCTGTCCTACATGCATTTGGGTCTTATTACAATCCCACTTCCGGTTAATGCTGTTGCCTGGCAGATGGAGAGGGCAGAGCTGCTACTAACTACACACAAACAGGCTGTTGCATACTTGTCCAAACCTGTGAACTCACATCCTTGTGAAACGTCATCAACGAATGCCGAAGGACTGTTCCAATGCTAAGTATGCATAATAGTATGTTCGCTCAGTTTCCAGATGTGTTCTTGCTCCGCCCATTGTATCGAGGATGCAACAATGCATTGATCTGCGAACTTGGGACTGCAAATTTTCTCATAATGCATTGAGCTGCAAAATATTAAACTCCGAACGTCAAGAGAACGCTAATACTGTTTTCTATTAGAGATCGTGTGTAAACCGTACATTTTTGCTGCACCTCAGAGTAAGGACTCCAAAGCGCTTTACACTACTGTGTATCATTCATCCATTCACACACACACACACACACATGCTGATGGTGATGAGCTACGATGTAGCCACAGCTGCCCTGGGGCGCACTGACAGAGGCAAGGTGGAACGGGAGCTTCGTGCCCTGGATGAACATCCCACACATCTCCATCAACTGCAAGATGCTATCCTATCAATATGGCCGACATTTCTAAAGAACACTTTCAGCACCTTGTTGAATCAACGCCACGTAGAATTAAGGCCGTTCTGAAGGCAAAAGGGGGTCAAACACCACATTGGTGTGGTGGTCCTGATAATCCTTTAGGTGAGTGTAAACTAGGGCTGCACAATATATCGAAAAATTATCGTCATCGCGATAACTGGACGTGCGATAGGCCCATCGCAAAGCACGTCAAAAACAGCGATAAATGTTTGGTTCAACATTTCCATCCGTGTCATACATCAACTTTTTGTAAACCAGCTCTGTTTTTTACGCGGAAGTATTGTTTGACCAATCAAATGTAGCCCTTCTGATATGCGGCCAATTAGATGGTCCCGTTCACGTAATAAGCCCGCCCCCTACGTAGACCTTTAGGATGGAAAGCAACACCCGAACTGAGTTAGCGGCGCCGTTCCCTTGTTCGTCATGCTGGCTCAGAGCAACGAACGCACTTTGTGCTGAGGTTTCTGGAATCAGCGCTGCTTTCAAACGTGAACGTGAGTCCGCTCGGTGTCGTTAATCCTTTTTACCGGGCTGACATGCTTCACTTAAATCTAGAAGTCTTATTTTCCAGATCAGCTTTGTGGTTATCAGACGAGCTTCACAGAACAAAGACAACTGGACGTGCTCTTGAGTGGAGATACATCTCCACAGGGTTTGTTTTAGACATGCAAGCCCATTGGGACCACAGAAACATAAAAACTATTCCTAAGCTCTGGCCACAGCTAGGTCTCAGTATTACTCCCATAAAATCAGCAATAAACTCAAAACTGTGGTTTTTCCACAATTAACAATCTACCAAAACTTCCATCTCACACATGCAGTGACAACGCAGTGGAACAGTGTAATAGGTTCATGACCCTTTTCTCTGGCTCCACCTTTCATGCTACTCCATCTCCTCCAGTTCAAGCTCAGGCTCCAGAAACAGAGTACACTCAGCAACTTCTCCAACACCACACAGAGAAGTGGAGGGGACCATACAACAGAGAGGTTCCTTAACATGCTCTGCAGACGATATCTTCTTCCTAACCCAATGTAGGGCTGCTCGATTATGGCAAAAATAATAATCACGATTCTTGTGACTGAAATTTGAGATCTCGATTATTTAAGACGATTTTTCAATTGATGTTGATTTTATTTGTTTTTATTCTGTCATAAAACTGCTCAGGGCACAATCAGGACAAAAATAAATAAGAAACAAGATGATCACTAAAATAACTCCTGATTCCTAGTATAAAAAGACCAATATACTTATTAGGACCCGACCGATATAGGGGTCATTAACATTATCGGCTATCGGCCAAAACAACGGCCGATATGGCTGATATTGTGCTATCTATCCAGCAGATGGCGCCAGCTTTTTGAACTCATGTGTGGCTCCACTCCTCGGGGGGCGGAGCCACCGTCACAGCACACATGCAGCAGGAGCAATTCAGTCAAGCAGAGACGACGGTGATGAGGAAGTAGGAGGTAAGTCTTCAGTTTTAAGCATATTTGTTGTGTCAGTGGTAAGTTGAACGGTAAAATAAGCAATGGCAAAGGTATGTTTCCCCTCAACATGCTTCCTAAGTTTATTGTGTGCCTCGTGGCCTCGTACTGAAGTTACCCTGAAAATAAAAACTGCTGCAGCATTACGCTCTACGCAGAGCTCACGCCGCTTCCCCTTGAGTCATGCAGGGCAGTAAGTAAGCAACATCGGCCATTTTCTGGTAGACATTCTGGAATATTCTCAGACAATTTCATCCACTCTTCTTCAGCAGTCTTTTCAAACTCACACGACCGTTGTCGCTGCTGGGGACGGGGAAATGAGAAACCCTTAACAGCTGGGGAACCAAACAAAAACAGAGCCATTGGTTTTGAGCCACAATGTCTGATATCATTTATTTACATGATCATTTTTAAACTTTACGTATAAAAATGCCACATTTAATGTATTTTACTTTGTCTTGGTATCAACAGATATAAAACTGTACTTTTATGCTGATTGTTTTGTTACAGATGGAAAAAGAGGGTCGTAGTAAGGTGTGGGCCTACTTCACTAAAGATCCATCCGGTGATTTATGTTTGTGCTATTATTTCCTGTCCAGGGTGAATACGGTCACCAAGTTAACTTCCACAGACTCAGAAAACAAAAGACTTGAATGTTAGATGTGACTGAGTTTGTGTGTTCTGTTGTTTGACATCAGCTAAATAAATCTTGTTTGCATTACTTGGAAAGCCGAGTGAGTTACTGAGACAGTTCTTTGGTGTGCAATAGAGAAATAAGTTAGCATCAAAAAGGCAGAGAATGAAGGGTTTAATCTTAAAAACATTTTTATTTTGTTAAAAGTTTTATATCGGTATCGGCCCCAAAAAAAGCATATCAGTCGGGCCCTACTACTTTTAGCTCATAGTCTATGACCCAAGGGCTACAGACCTTTGTTTAACTCATTTAAGTCTAACCAGTACAGACCCAAATACCAATATCTTGCAAATACTGACAGCAAGAATTATACAGTGGCATTTATAACAAATACATGCAAATAAATTGATGTTCACAAAATTTTGCATAACATTTATTTAGTCGTGTCAAGGTGCTGTAGGAGAGTGCACTAGCACCGTGTCCTCAGAGAGGTTAGTTATTATTTATCAGCGGAACTTATTTCAATTTCTACCTTATTTATAAACTATTTATTTACAAGTCCATCAGTTAATGTAATAATTGTCCCAACCGCAGCTGCAGCCCCCACCCCCAACCCGGTCTCTCAGCAATCAGGGGCAAGCTGCACGTGTGTTTAGCACGCCGCACGCTCACATTTAGCCGTTTTTATCGGCTCAGGAGTCCGCAGGTACGGTGTGTGTGTCACTCACTCTGGTTAATCCAACAAGGAGCCGGCTCTGAGAGCCGTTTCTTTAGTGACCGACACATCACTACATCATTCCCTTTCCTAATGTCCTGAAGAACGGTCCGGAGCGCAGGCGGAGTGTTTAGCTAACCTGCAGGAAACGTCGACGACAGTTATCCAGAAAGTAGCTAAGGGTTACCAGAGATGTTTCTGAGGTGTTCGCTAGGTACTTTGAAGATTTAAAAAGTCAAGAAGGGGGTCTGAGAAGCTGTTAGAAATAGCGTCAAAGTCGCTAAGTTGGCAACACTGTGGAGGAGCGCTTCATTTGCAACTCAAGCAGCGTAGGTGGGAGGAGCAAATAATCGGCTTGTTTTGTTTTTATAATCGTTCAAAACTCAGATCGTAATCGTGATTAAAATTCGATTCATTGAGCAGCCCTAACCCAATGTTAACTTGTCTTAAAGCACCACCCCAGCAGCCGTTGCCTGTGTAGTCAGAATCCCTACCAGTGACTGCATTTGTGTACTTTCTACCGTAAACCAATAATACCGTCATTACTACAGAGCAGCCGAGACACCGTGCGGGACGAACTCTTACCAATGAGACAGAGACGAGAACTGGGCAGGTGTGGCCACTCAAAAAGGGTGTAGAGGACGTCCTGAGCCTTGCTGTCCAGCTGGTCCATTTCATCCAAAACCAGAAGCCTTAGAAGAGAAGACACACGCATGAGCCTAGGGCTGGGCCATATGGGCCAAAACTTATATCTATATTTTTCATTCAAGTCAACTCCCAGAGCTGCCTTGAGAAATTGTACATAAATTCATCAGCAGATTAAATGCATAAAGTGTATTGATTCTTGTACAACATGAACCATCGAGTTAACACGAATTAGAACTAAAGGTTCCTGAAGACATTTGTGACGTGTAGCTGTTACTGCTGATAGATGGATGACGTGAGTCCTTGTACCCCTCATAACCCTAACCCTCATAACACACAAGCTTATGTTTCAGAACACCGTCTCTGCGGGTCGTTCAGTATTTTGTTTGAAATAATATGAACATTTATGAAGAATGTCTGACACTGCCCATTCCTAGACGAGCAAGTCGGGTCCATGAAAACCAGGCAGCATGAAGGTCACTCACACAGCAGGCCCCGACGATGTGAAGAACTTCTGCAGACCCTTCTGGCCGCTGAGCACTTTCAGTTTGTCAGCCAGCAGAGGGAAGATGGAGTGGGCGCTTCGCAGACTCATACAGTTCACCAGAACCGTCAGAACCGACGACAGCTCAGCCTGATGGGACAACAACAGCTAGGTGAGGAGATGACGACATCTGTGTAGACAGGGCTGCTCAACGAATCACATTTTAATCACAATTACTATCAGAGTTTTGAACCATTGGAACAACAAAACGAGCCGATGATTTGCTCCTCTCTCATGGTTTACTCCGAGTTGCAAATCAAGCGCACCTCCCAGCAGCGTTGCCAAATTTTAGCAACTTTGTGGCTGTTTCTAACAACCTTTCAGACCATTCCTCCACTTTCTTCTCTAAGCTACCCAGAAACCACCTAGGAACATTCCTGGATACCTGCAGGTCACAGCCTGCACTCAGGACCGTCCTTCTGGACATTAGGAAAGGGAACAACGTAGAGACGGCTCTCAGAGACTCCTGTCCCCGCAGGCTCCTGGTGAAACGGCTAAATGTGCCCGTGCAACACACACACACACACACACACTCCTGATTGTAGTGTGTGTGCTGCAGTGCACCTCTGCAGGGTGGGACATCTACTACATGGACTGATGGAACCTGGAAATAAATGGTTTAGGAATACGTTTCTAACGCTGATTCATCTCAGAGCAACAGGCTAGTGCTGCACTCTCCTACAGCGCCGCTGGACAGGACTCAGTACCGCAGCAGGTTATGGAAGTTCACTACAACATGCATGTTTAGACTCTTGCCATCAGAATTGGGTTAGGGTTAAAGCTCAGCCTACTGGCTCTGTTACACGAGGAACCAGGAGTTGTTCTGATCTTCTTCTGATCGCCCTGATAAAGCCATGATGGAGTAGCCCTACTGCAGACAGCGCTAAAGCATGTCCAGCTCACCTTCATGTCCTTCAGGACACAGCTCAGGCAGGCCGTCTTGCCAGTCCCAGGAGCTCCTGAAATATAGAGGCTTCCAGGACGGCGCTGCAGGACCGTCTCCTGCAGGAAGGAGCGGATGGACGTCTGCTCCGCCTCTCTGGACAAGATGTGTTCAGGGATGGATGTGTGGAGCACCTGCTTCACGCTCTGGAACTTGGACTCTGAGGAGAAAAACAATGATTGTAGCACTTTGGTTCCTAAGAAACTCGTAACTTGCTGAAACCATCTTACTTTCTGCAAACAGCTGAGTGACTGGGGTCTTCTTTCCTCCAGTGCCACGCAAGGGACTTCCGGTGGGCGTTTCTGGTCTCCTAGTGGACGAAGTGGTGGTTGGACAGCGTGGTTTTTCAGAAGATGGGTCTGATGTTTGATGGACCACGACTGGAGAGTTCTCATTGAAACCTAGCTTCCTCTGGGAGGACAGAGACGTCTTTTTCTGTTTGGGAGGGGACGCCTGCAGGGTGTGGAGGTTGCAGCCGTTCTCATCACCTTTACAGAGATAAACACAAGTCAACACCTTCATGGAGACAACTCCTGACCAGCGCTGCAGACTCACCTGTGCGTTTGCGCGGGCTCAGGGGGAGTCGGGGCTGCAGGGCGGGAGACTGCCTCGGAGACACGGGCCTGGGTGGGCTTGGAGGCGGAAGGACGTCCTGGGACGCAGACCCTGGAGGTTTGGGGGGTTTTAAAGGCGCTCGGCAGGACTTGCGTCGTGGGAACGTCAGCGTGGGCTGAGCTCGAGCCTGGGAGCGGGTGCTAGGCATCCTAGCAGCTTTAGCGTTAGCTCGCCTTGCAGGACTCTCAGAGTAAAGGAGGGGTTGGTAACCCGGTCAGGTTAACCCGAACCAACCCGGATCAACGCTCACCTGCGCTCGGTCAGCTCCTCTCGAGGACGGGCTTCTCTACCGGTAACCGAGTCCAAACTAGCGCCAAAACGTCTTCTTTACCAGCTGCGTCATCCGCTGCTGCTCTTGGATTGGTCAACGCAACACTTTTCGCAACCTCATTGGTTCGGTGCTGCGGGCGGAAGTTACGCAAAGGGCGCGTTTGGTAACGGCGGGAAAGACTTTTGTTTGAGTTTTAGCCATCGAGAAATGGGTAGGAAGAGCAGAACAAGGAAGGTCCCACCTGAACAGGTGAGTCCAGCTTAGCTCATCCGTCTGAGAGGTGATTGGATGAGACGGTTTCATAGCAGATCCGTGTGTGTTTACATGAACACAGAACAGTGTACATTCATGTTTACACACACACACACACACACACACACACACACACACACACACACACACACACACACACACACACACACACACACACACACACACACACACACACACACACACACACACACACACACACACACACACACGCGCGGAGGTGTCCCCTGTCCCTGACTGTCTCCAGGTGGCTGGAACACAACAGAGACTGAACAGGATCATTTGCACTCACTAGAAATGTTTCATCAGCCAAGATGATATTAATCTGACAACAAGAGCTCTGATCTGCTCTGACTGTCAGATCACACGATTGGAATCAGCAGCATCAGTGAAGCCAGGATGAGCGTTACCTCATGAATATTAACAGGAAAATGTCCAGAGAAACTAGACACGTGTAACTGAGTTCATGACAACTTGACAGAAAAATGTGAGTAAAGATAGTATAAATACTCATTCATGGGTAAACAACGAAACCAGTCCCCATCTGAAAAAATACATCTGGCTTTAAACAGCAGTGTAATACGGATTCATTTTCTACAAAAGATGATCGTTAAAAAGCTTCACACCAAAGTGCTTTTCAGTGGAAACAAACAAACAAACAATCACAAGGTGAAAACAGATGAATGAGCTGAAATGATGAAAATATCACAGAATTCCACCACCATAGCACATGAGCCTAACACCTTTTTATTCATTCTGTAGAATAATTAACCAGTTATAATAATAAAGTATGTATGGAACAGTCTAGCGAGGTGACAGCTGCAGAAATATAGCTCCAACAGCAATAATGGTTCTATTCGATTCACGATTGGTCACTCTGAGCTGCGTATTCATGCTACACTCCCATCGTCTGCATCAGCTGCCCAAAGGAAAGAGATGAAGAAACTACTGTTGGGAAAAAAAACTGTCTCCATTAGGCGTTTCGCATCTGGGCTAGCACGGACCGGGCTGGGTAGCGTCGGTCCGGTCCCGCACCAGTAGGGTTTATTCACACTGCTGGTTGATTCTATCCACCAATCAGAAGCTCCCTCTAACGGCAGGTTGGTATTTGAGCCGGCCAGTCAGTCGTAGTGGGCATGTTGGCCTGGCCCAGCCCTGAGCAGACCACCAGAGGTTAAGGGCCAAAAACCCGCCTGGTAGGAGGGGGCAAGTACCAGATCACCCAGGTATGAAAACAATATGTTCAATGCAGGCCGGGCCGATCGGTACCAGATGTGAAACCCCCATTAAGCCGGGTGTACACTGTGCAACTTTTTCACTTTTTTGAGCCGATTTTCCAGTCGTGCGAGAATCCACGACATCGGGGCGAGTTTTGCGCCGAGCGGTCGTGTAGTGTACAGGGGGTTACGAGAGGCGATTAACACCACGTGACCAGCTGCCGATCAGCAGTCGTGAGGTCGCACGGACTTCTGGCGTGTTTAAAATTTTGCTCGTCCCTCGTGAGGGTATCGCACTGTTGAAGCGGCACAGCGAGCGGCTGCGACCCAAAAAGTACCAGAACCGCTCACGGTGCATGCGCAATCCTGCATCAACGCCGCTCGCCCGCTATTTCCCTAATAACACACGCTGTTCGTTTTTATTTCTACACGTTTTTTTTACTCACAAAGATTGTCAAGAAGGCGTGTTTGTCGTGTTCATGTCAAATTAAACTGATCACAAAACACAGATTTACTTTCTTTATTTCGTTTTCCTCATCCAACCCCCATAAATCCCTGTGTGTCCTCCTGCAGCACTCCCGAAGGACAACAGGCAAGAGAAGACAAAAAAGTCTGACGTGTTGAGTAAAAACTGCTATTTTTAGCACATTTTTAGGGCCGACGTGTTGCTACCAGACGTACAGCGTGAGCAGTCAGGTCGCATCCGAGAACTGGGTCGTGCAGTGTGAGCACACGACTCGTGAGATCTGCTCTGCGAGGAAGTCGTACAGTTTGAGCTGAAGCTGAGTGCTGCGAGTGAAAAAGTCGCACAGTGTCCGCCCGGCTTTAGTCAGAGGGAAATATAGTATTCATGGCCCCGCCCACCTTGGCTTGTGGTCACCCATAGGACGGAGAGCAGACAGGGCCTTGGCTAGTAGGAGCTAACTGTAAGCAGCTCCACAAAATGGTGGAATTGTCGCGTCTTATTTATTTGTGGTGATTACATATCAATGTTGTATTCTTATTACCATGAAGAATTCACACACTTTCAGAAGCACCTCCTGGAGGGAAGTGGAAGAAGAGTCCCCTCAGGTCTCATTGGATGTGGCCAAACGCCATCTTCTGGAACACCAGAGCCGTCTAAGCTACGAGCTTTTGGTCTGTAAGCTGGTGTCTAACAGACGTACGTCTGGAGTGCTTTTTAACACTTTTAAAAGGTGGCAAAGTTCCTGTAGCTCTGCTGCTGTTGAAGCCTTACCTCCACTGTCAAACATTTCTCCTTTTGTGGCAGAGGAGTCAAGTGGTCGCCTGTGACTGAAGGGTTGGAGGGTTGAGCCTCACTCAGCCTGTCGCAGCTGTTGCGTCCTCAGTCAAGACAGCTGGGACAGTTGTAGTTCACCACCACGTTGCTGGCCTCTACTTCAGGACCTGGTTCAAAAGTTTAGAGTTGTTTTTTTCATGGCTCCATCCTTTTTATCGGAACTCCACCACTGCTACACCCCTGCCAGAACTCTGAGGTCCACAAATCACTCCCTAGTGGTTCATCCCAGATTCCCGGTGAAAACCAGAGGTGGTAGGACTTCTTCTGTGGTGGCTCTAGTTCTGTGGACCAGCTGCTTAGGCTTGTGACCTTTTTAAATCTCTGCAGAAGACCCACCTCAGACTCTCAGCTCAGATGACCTAGCCATTAAAACTCAAGTATCACTGCAGTGCTCTTGGCTCAGAATGGCATTCCTTAATAAAACCTTCAGAATCCACATGTAGAGACTATTATTTTAAAGGAGTAGATCACTTGTTGGGAGTTAAGTCAGACCGATGAGTCAGACACAAATCTAACCTGCATGCACTTTGCGCTGATCACTGGTGATCTCACCATTAGGCTAGTCATCAGAGGCTAGTGGCCAGCTGCCATTTTACATGGGTCTCCATTCACCACCACTGCATTCATTTCTACTGAGGAAGGTGCTTACCCAACTAAAAAACACATTTTATCGAGTTTTTTTTCTTCACAAAATCAGATAGTATGGCACGATAATTAAAATATAAATATAATTAAACAAAATAAAATAAAATCCTATCAGGTAGGCTAGAAAAGTCATTAGTGATCCCACGTGACCTGTTTACGTCGGTTGTTGTAACTGTAGGAGGCACAGAAACGAGACACCCATCCAATATGGCAGCCATGCTGTTACGCTGTCCAGCGCCCAACGAGGCGTCTACTTATCCATGTCTATGGTTGTAGTGAACTTCCTTTTCCGGTCTGCGGGTAAACGTTCGTTGGTGCAGCACTAGCTAACCCTCTGACCATGAATACGGTTTTATCGAGAGCCAACTCGTTGTTCGCCTTCTCGCTGAGCGTCATGGCTGCCCTGACGTTCGGCTGTTTCATCACCACCGCCTTTAAGGACAGAAGAGTTCCTGTGGACATCCACGTCTCCAAGGTTATGCTGTAAGGAACCCTCAGTAGCAGCTGCTAGAACCCGTGTTCTCGTCATCACAAGTTCTGACAGAATCACCGGTTTTAGCTGCGGAACAAAACGACTTCCTGGTTTTATCGTTAGCATGTCTTCTGTTGAGTTACACTTGTGTCAAGCCAGCCTCCAGTTTATTGTCGGTTCCCCGTCTTTTCAAAGTATTACGGGAGGGGATGTGGAAACCGGATTTCAAAATAAAAGCAAACTTCGAGTGAATTAAGATATTTTAAGAACATAATAACATATAATTTAGGCTTGTTCACTATTATCGGCCTGTCAATATCAAGACCATCTTATTTTGGATTTCAAAGTAAAAGCCATGTGAATTTTCAACTCAGTCTGATGTTGCCTTCCAAAATAAAGGCCTTTTTAAATTGCCCATATACGACCTAATTTTCAGTGATTTCAAAATTCTCTAAAATGGAAAATTGCCGTTTCTACAGGGTAATTCCACTTTAGATCAACAGTGTACAACCCCACAGTGATACCATATCAATATGAAGTTATTCTGATGTTGCCTTCCAAAATAAAGGCCTTTCAAATTGTCCATAGTTGACCTACCTTTAATGATTTCTAAATGCTCTAAAATAGCAAATTGCTGTTTCCACAGGGTAATTCCACTTTAGATCAACAGTGTACAACCCTACAGTGATACCATATCCAAATTCAACCACATTCAATAATCTCTCTGACTGCATAAGACAAATGACATCATGGCTGAGTTTATTCTACACCTCTGTACTAATTTTAAAGTTAACTATTGTCTTTTTTTGTGGGTTTTAAATGTGGTGAACAGTTGACAAACAAAGCAAAAAGAAAAAAACAATACAAGACTGTTATAAATTAAAGGGCCTTGGAGATGTCATTCAAACTAACACCAATGCACATCAAAACATACATGTGAGTAACAGAAAGAATAAAAAACATTTCAGAATAATTCTAAGGTGGACTTACCCTGTGAAAACAGAAATTATTCTTTTTAGAGCATTTTGAAACTTCCAGGAGTAAGTCTGATATGGGCAGGTGGAAAATGCCTTTATTTTTGAAAGCAAAATCAGAATGACTTGATATTGATATGGTATCACTGTGGGGTTGTATACTGTTGATCTAAAGTGGAATTACCCTGTGGAAACAGCAATTTGCTATTTTAGAGCATTTAGAAATCTTTAAAAGAGTCGGCCAAATATGGACAATTTCAAATTGCTGTGGTTGGATAGTGTTGATACAAAATGCAACTACTCTTTGGAAATATGACTTTAGCTTTTAAGAGCATTCTGAAGTAATTGAAAGAGTAGTTCAAAAATGAAAATTCACAGGGCTTTTACTTTGAAATCCAAAATAAGATGGCCTTGATATCAACAGGGCACTAATAGTGAACAAACCTAAATTATTTGTTATTATGTTCTTAATAATTCACTCGAAGTTGAATTTTATTTTGAAATCCGGTTTCCACATCCATTCCCATAATAATTTGAATAGACTGGGAACAGAAAACAAACTGGAGGCTTGCTTGACACCAGTTGAATTACGTAGATTTTTAAGCCAGTTAATGAAACATTCAGACGCTGTGGTTCTTAATAATTAAACATTTGTTATAAAGATGATTACATATAGTGGCTCAGATGTTAGCTGAAACCACAGACATCATGGAGCCCAGTGTTGCACAGCAGAGGGTGTAGCGCCGTTCTGTGCTGTCCCGTGTATCCGGTTCAAGATGGTGTGTTTGTATTATGCTTTTTGTGTTTAAAGGCACAGTGTGTGATATTTTTACCTGTTTACTAACAAATCTAGTGTTTCCAGTTCACAAACATGTCCTTTCTCACTAATATTTCTCACTAACATCAATTCTAAATATCCCTCTCAACTTGAAATTATACATTTTTATACACATTAACTGTGGTCGAGGCTCCATGGTCATCCACCATCTTAAAATACAGTAGCTGTTTAGGGACATACGAGCTCCACGTTACCTGTTTGGACTGACTGTAACCTGAAAGAACCAGCAGAGTGCAGCAGTGCGCCCTGGAAGCATGGAGTCTGCTAATTCAACTAAGAAATAGCAAAGATTAGCTACACAGTTGCTGCACTTGTTAGTTTGAATGAAAACCTATTATATCAAAAGACACATAAAATGTTCATCATCATGTCCAACACAAGGAAGCTGCATATGCTCAGACCCCTGCCTGCTATTAGCTGGACGTGAACCTCCGATTAGTGTCTCTGACTCCCAAACTCACCTCAAGTTGTTCATCTGTCTTTTCCTAGTACCCGAACTCCCGATCCAGTCCCAACGTGTCCGTTCCAAAGTCTTCTACTCAAGTCTCTCTTCCTGTAGCCTGCCGTCTCTCCCAACACGCTCCAGCGCCCGTCCGCTAGCCAGTGGCTAAATCAGCGTTGTGTACTTTATCTCCACAACACTTTACTAACGGCGATGTAGTTCTCCATGCACTGACACTCCGACACAGAGGGCTTCTTCTCAAACGTTACCTTTAGACTTGGGTCTCCTTTTGCTGGTAATCCGTGGGAGTTTACAGGATACACAGCGTGTCCCCAGCTCTAGCTGTGGCTAACTAGTAGCTTGTGATGCCGATCTCCACCACGCCAGCATAACATTATTACATTGCATTACATCATTTTCCCCTAAAAGTTGATCACAAATATTGTGAAAATAGCCAGAAATGTGATCTCCCGACACGGGGGGACAGAATATTTCTGGGGAACACAATTTCTCACAACACCTGACCTCCCGGCTGACGTCACCCCTCTTCCGTGAGTGGATCATGACAGCTTCAAGAACAGAACTAGCTTGTTTCCTTCAGAACTGGTAGGTTGATAAACAGTCGTAATTATAAATGCGTTTTTAAGTGGTAGAGTAGCTGGGTGTGGGTTAAGCCTGATTTATGCTTCTCCGTCTGCGTCAGTGCGGAGACACGCAACGCCATTATCTGTCCTTGCGTAGGGCTCCGGCAGGCACGCAAGTACGTACGGAGTTGAGCCCACTTTTTTAAACATCCGTCGAACGAGACGGATTACGCAAGCTTGTGATTGGTCAGGACGCCGCTGTTGTTTACAGTGCCATCATTGCAAAGAGAGCCGAGGATAACTAGCGGCAGACACGGAGAAGCTTGAAGAATACCTCGCGAAAAAACTCTAAAAATATGAACGTTTAATTCTCCCGTGACTGGATGAGTGAAAAGATGCGCAGCAAGCGTTTTATTTGTGGGCGGAAATGACAGGAAACGTGGGTTTAGAGGTGGGGAGCGCAAGAAGCGGTGGGAGAATGAGAGACAAATATGTCCGTGTTAAAAAGTCTCTTATAAACACAAAAAACACTATATAAACAAACGATCTTGGACCGATACATGACAGGATACCACAGAACAGCGCTACGCCCTCTGTGGTCCTGTCAGGCAATTGCTTTGCAACACTCTCCAGGAGACGGAGAAGTAAAAGAGCAAAACGCTTCCGTCAGTCCGTGCGTGTCTGTCCCTTGCGGAGCTGACGGAGAAGCATAAACCAGGCTTTAGGCTACACAGGTTGGAAATTGATAATACAGTCAAGCTCATGAGTGAGCCACCGTAGCTGCAATATTTTCTCTGACCTGCATGGCGCTAGAGTCACATTTTTTCATTCATGATTTAAATGGATTTCACGCATGGGGCCTTTAAGATACTTTTTAACACAGACAGATGCATCCCTCATCCTCTTCCAGGCGCTCGCCACCTCTAAACCCATGTTTCCCATCATTTCCCTCCATCAGTAAAACACCTGCTGCATACCTTTTCACTCCTCCAGTCACGGGGGAACAAAACGTTCATATTTTTAAAGTTTTTCCACGAGGTATTCTTCAAGCTTCTCCGTATCTTCCTGAGCTCCATAATCACATGAAGTAGCCCACTCTTGTAGAGCGGTCAGAAACTCGTCAGCTCGCTGCGTCCGATAACAGAACCGACTACTTGCTATGGCAAAACTAACTTTTAGTAGTGAATTGTAGTTCCAGAACCCCCATAGCCGCGTCATACGAAGAACCAGAGTTGGGCAGGGAGTAAAATTAGTGTTGTCCATAGATTCCCAGAGAATTCCTTAGCAGTGCATGGCCAAGTATACGAGTTGCATGAGTCGCGGTCAAGTAGTTGTTGAACATTCTCCGTCAGGTGGAGAGCACTGCACGGCAAGAAAGGTGCAGGCTTTAGTACCAAAGTCATTGCTGTCAGTTGTTATGGTCGACCGTTGTATCAGGAAGTAGCACGAGTAGGCAAGCATTCCTTTCCCAAGCTTTACTCAAACCTGCGCCACATGTGCCGTATCGGACATCGATCTTAACACTGTCTCCTTCTTTTTCTTGTCTTGATCCAAAACTGCCCCCTAGTGGTAGACAACACCCTAGTGCAGGCTATTCAAGTCCAGGCCTGGAGGGCCGGTTTCCAGCAGGTTTCTAACTCTTAAATATGTCTTTGTTGTTTTTGCTTAACAGGAAGAATGTTGATGACTTCACAGGACCCAGAGAACGAAGTGACCTTGGTTTCATTACCTTTGACATCTCTGCTGATATCTTTTAATAAGCTGCTTGTGTAACACATTTATTCACTCTTAAAATGTACCTTTGGGTTAGTGGACCCCCAGGGCCTGTGAGCCATAACACACATGTGGGACCTGAAGATGCATGTGCATCTCCTGGGGTTGAGCTAACTAGCACAGTCTCTAAAGTGTGTGCAGGTGACAGTATGTTATAAAACTTTAAACTGCAGTAAGATTTTCATTATGTGGTTAAAACTCACCGTCAGCAGCTTCAGGTCGATAGAAAAGTGTTGACAGGTTCACATCTGGGTCGTTTTATTGGACCTTCGTGGTGTCTTTATTTCACCGGGCCAGCTAAAACAAACCTGGGTGGGGCTTGTGAGTGACTCGCGCTGACTGGTTGTAACTCAGGAGTAGATGACATCAGCAGAGGTGACCAGACCTTCGTAAAATTAGAAGTTGTAATGCAAGAAGATAATAAGCAGCTTCTTTAAAATCACAGGGAGATAGTGTTATATTTTATACTTATTAGTTTCAATATAAATAAATAACGAGCTTTTACTTTTTAAATTGTGTATATGTTTATTAAGTTAAAAATATAAGCGAGTTACTACCCGCTAGCCACCGAAGCTGTAACTAATAAGCAACTAACCAACCACAGATAACTTCTTTGGATCTAAAAAAAACATTTTAAATTAGTTGACTTAATTTTAAATTTAAAAATTGTTCCCGAAGTAGCTGCCGGCTTCTGATCCGCCATTCTTTTTAAAGTACCATGGTGTATTCTGGGAAATTTTTGACCAAGGCTAGGCTACAAGACACCTCCCGTGTATCCTCGCTCAGCTAGCTAAACGGCTAACAAACAGAGAACACACGCCTCGGAAGAACATGAACATTGGAACACTCCTTGGCTTCTCCCGATGACGTATCTCCTAGGCAACCGGGGCGGGGCCAAGACATCAAGGCAAGGTTCCTTGGCGTTGAGAAATACCCTTAGACCCGCTCCATGTATTTTAGACCTGATTTTTATGGTTATATGTTATGAAACTGCCTATATTTTTCTTCAACTGTTTATATTTTAATTAATTAACAACAACATTCCAGTGGATATTTCCAGAGACTGATGGTAAAAACTACACACTGTCACTTTAAAGAATACAACTGTTAATGTATGGTCTGCCTGTCACCACTGATTTGTGACATCACTCATTGCCGAAACAGACATTTTATGAAATTCCTGGTCACATTCCCCCTCCCCGAATTTCCCAAAACTCCTATAGTGGAAGTGCAGCTCAAGGTTTTACCCTTGTTCCGCTGAACTGACGAGACAGTAAAGGCTCAGAAGATCATCCTAAGTGAGTGAAAGTATAGAGTCCGTCCATTACATGCGTTTTTAAACTTTTGAGAACAAAGGTAGGCACACTGTGGTGAAATAGTACCGTTGGTGCTATTGAGATGTCATTTTATCTTAAATCAGAGTTTTTTTCATCAGCTTGAATTTGTACCGCAAAAATTAAAACTGTTTTACAGTTAAGCTCCGCCCATATCTGACCCAAGAAAATGGAGAGGGTGCTCACTGCAGAACCACAAAGGTGGAGCTTTACCAGAGTCAGCTCCGCCCATTCCATCAGATCCAGTCCAGTTCCTTCCCGTTGTCAGACTCAAGAGCATTCTGGAACCGAAGAGGTTTATAGCTAATGTCACCTGAAAGGCAAGACTGAGGACGGAGTTGAGAGGTTAAGTGAACAGTTTCAGTAAAGGTTCCATATCATTAAAAATCCAGCTTTTTACCATGTTATATTGTCATTTCCTCATAAGAAGCACCCTAAAGCCTTTTTAGCCTCATTCATGCATTTTCCTCCCGTCTCCGCTTCAATTGGGTCTCCTCCCCCTGAAGCGGGTCTGGTCTTGGTTCTCAGATCTGGATCTTCTGTGGATTTTCTGACTAATTATTTCTGAAATGACTTCTACTGAGACCCCCCGGAAAACCCGTACATCCCATCTACAAAGACACACTGGATGGCACAAGCACATGTGGCGCCGACTGTTTCCTAACCCCGGGTTTCCACGGGAGCCGTCAGCAGCACGTTACTGCAGCAGCACGTCTAGCTGCTGCTTGGCCTTTCCCACGAGACGCGAAGCAGCAGGGGAGCAGCTGTCACCGACAGAGCACGAAGTCACTCGTGTGACTTCGTGCTCTGTCGGTGACAGCTGCTCCCCTGCTGCTTCGCGTCTCGTGGGAAAGGCCAAGCAGCAGCACGTCTAGCTGCTGCTTGGCCTTTCCCACGAGACGCGAAGCAGCAGGGGAGCAGCTGTCACCGACAGAGCACGAAGTCACACGAGTGACTTCGTCAGTAAACACAACAACAAGCAGGAGAAATTTACAACATGGTTTGTGTTTTATGTTCTGTCCGTTTTATAATCGCCAATACGGACCTGAAAAACAAAGGAGACCGCTAGCTAGGTGATAACTTCTCACGGGGACGCACATTTAGTAACTGTTTTTAAAGTAAAGCAACCGGAAGGCAGTACGTTCTTTATTCTGAAAATCTCGAGAGCTTCTCTCCATTTCCGCGTTCGATTTCCTGTCTTTCCTTCCCCAAAAATGTCGAACTTGACCCGTTTCAGAGGCGTCGCGCGTAGAAAATAGAACCGGCGCGTAAAGGCCGCGACATGCTGCTCCTGAGACGCGGCCGACTCGCGCTGCCGACGGCTCCGGTGGAAAAGGTTCTGTTGACCACAGCGGTTCCTATCAGCAGCTATGACGTGCTGCTGACGGTTCCTGTGGAAAGCCGGGGTCAGTGGTGAAGTGGTTATGGTGACAGGCTGGTATGTAGTTTAGAGCAGGTTCGCCTCTCGGCCACGGCGTTAACGTTTTACTTTCTTCTAGCTTATTGGTAAACCGTTAAAAATATGATGACTAATGTGCTTGTTTTTTATTTAGTTTACTTAGCCAGTGTGAGTCCATGTGTGAGCAGAGTTTCACCTAAAATGCTGTTTAGGAGCGACCAGATTAAAGAACTTTTAGAGACATAAAACTAAAATATAAACAAATTAAATCTGTTTCAGCTGGCTAAATAGATTATTGCCGACTCCACCGAGAGTGGAACCGGCGTCAGCAGAGGGCAAAACACAACTTAAGTCAGATCGTTGTGCCACTGGACTACCAGAGATCATACTAACCAGACTAAATGCTGTTGTAAACCTTTTTGTTTCGGGGTTTATTCAGACAAACTGTATTCATCTTGCTTAACTGGAACATAGAACGTAGCATTAACAACTGTAAACTAGTAACAACCATAATCCATGTGGGTCAGGTTAGTTTGAGATAAAGTTAAACAACAAAAACAAGAAGTCAGTGGGCGGGGCTGAGTTTGTGTGAATGGGCGGGGCTCTATGGGGGTGAAAGTATTAAAGCATCTTCCTTTCATCTGGCTTTGTCATGTGCTGATACCTGTTTGACTCCCGGTGTTGGCTGTAATTTATTTAGATTTGTTTTTTTATTTTAGTTTTATTCTCTGCTAAATGTCGTCTCTAAACATCTTTGAATCTGCTCGTTTCCAAGCAGTTGAGTCACTCTGCTCACCTCACACGGACTCACAATGGCTACAGAAAGAAAGTAAAAAGAATTAGTCCTTTTATTCTGAACAGTTAACCAACAAAGGGTTGAAGCATCATACTGGTATGTGTAGCTAAGAAAGAGCCCAGCACTCTTCCCACTGTGCCTATTTTATTAAACATAACCGCTGAAGGCCACATCTGCGACGCTTTAGTTTTTATAATTATCATAAATGTTTTAAGGCTATAAACTCTTCGCTGTACACTTGATGCACTTTTCTCAGACAGGCAATAATATTTTCACCCTTTTCTCATTGAAACTCAATGCAACAGTTTTCAGGTGTATTTATTAGTTTTTTCTTAACTAATTAACCAAAGTGAGCTGCCTGAATGCTTTTCTTCACAAAAACACAGCTAGAACAGCGAATGCTGATTACATGATGGCATAGCAGCACCACAGAAACAAAAAACAATCCGCTGCGCCGTGGTTGGGGTAAACAAGGAGAGACCCCAGATGTAAATGCTAATAGATGGTCACGTTTAGTGCTATTTCTGTCGGACGCGGACTTTTTCTTGTTTTAGACAGAAGTTGTATAACTGTAGCTGGCTTATATGGCTACCGCTACCTAGTTTAAACAGCGGCCGGCTCCAGACAGTTTCTGATTGGGTCTTTGTTCCGTTCGCCTGTCTTTTTCATTTTCTGATAGGATTTTTGTTAATGTCAAATTTCATTGCTTTTGTTTAGTAACAGGAAAAGTCAGTGGAGCCATGAAGAGTGAACTGCCTTGCATCGAGGGTCTTCTGCACTGAAAAAAGACAACTGTTGTCTAGAGCGGGGCGGACACGGTGCAACTTTTTCACGCGTAGCGTTCAGCTTGAGCTCAAACTGTACGACTTCCTCGCAGAGTCGTGCTCACGCCGTACGACCCGGTTCTCAAATGCAACCTGACCGCTCACACCGTACGTCTGGTAGCAGCACGCCGGACCTACAAATATGCTAAAAATAAATTTTCCACAACACGCCAGACTTCTCTTGTGTTATTGATGCCTGTTGTCCTTCGGGGGTGCTGCAGGACACACAGGGTTTTATGGGGTTGGAGGAGGAACAGAAAAGAAAGAAAATGAATGTTTTATCAGTTTAATTTGACATCAACACAGCAAACACGCTTTCTTGACCACCCCTGTCATTGTGTGTGTAAAAAGTATGTAAATAAAAAACACCGTGTGTTAATAGGGACATAGCTGTGCGTGACTCATGTCTGCGCTGTGAGCGGTTCTGGTAACTCTTGGGTCGTGCCGCTTCATCAGTGAGATGCACTCAGGAGGGACGAGCAAAAATCAAACACAGGATAAATCCGTGTGAGCTCATGATTGCTGATCGGTCACGTGGTGCTCATCGCCTCTTGTTACCGCCCGTATACTACACCACATGTAGCCTGAAACTCGCCCCGATCTCGTAGATTCTGACACGAGGGGAAAGTCGACCCAAAAAGGTGAAAGAGACACCGGATTACGTGAATGCTGGCCATTACGTGCGTCTCTGTGGACAGGACACGTGTTTTTTACGGCGGTTAATTAGTCAGAATCTCCACTCTGGTGCTGGTGGAGGTTTAAAACAGTCATCTGTGACATGAAGGTCACATTCTCAACTGCAGCATGAAATCAGCCATCTGCCCACAACTCTAAGTGGACGCTAGTGACCTACTTCTAGGGGAGGCGGGTTCCAGATCAGAGCTTCAGGGGGAGGAGAGGCATTTTGCTGCTTTGTCCCATGTGCAGGCTTGAAGCTGGAGCATTAAAATGCATTGATGCAGCCAAAAAGGGTTTGGAGGTATTTTTCTTGAGGAATAATCACATGGTAAATGTTGGGGAACCTTTAATAATAGTGCCTACATTGTCACTAAACTACTTCCCTGTACACACTGATGGTACTAGTGAACCGTGAGCTCTATCCTCTAAACTGTTTCATTTCTGGAAGCTTAAACTCTTATCTTTAACATGCTCAGAAGAGAATGTGGTGTCCTTTAGCTCTGGCTTTAGTGGATTGTTGTTGCACCTCTAGTTGGTCTTTAACTTGCTTCACATCTGCAGCCGATTTTCGATTGGAACGTGAAACAGCTGTTCCTCTACCTGTCTGCTGAATATGCCACAAAGAGCAATGTGAGTCACTGTCCACACACACCTTTAACTAAAGACGTTTAACCAGCACTCACACTGTCAAATGTTGTTTTCTCCAACCTTCTGACATCATTAAATTACGTTCCATCCAGATTGGGTTTAATAGGAATCTAACAGTTTTATCGAGGTTTGGTCTGTTGATGAGATGGAACGATGCCAGTCCTGAGATGATGCTCATGCTTTGTTAGTTGTTGGTGGGTTAATGTGTGTGTGTGTGTGTGTCAGTCTCTGAACCAGGTGGTGCTGTGGGATAAGATCGTTCTTCGAGGGGAAAGCACCAAACTGAACCTCAGAAACATGAAGTCCAAATACTTCTTCTTTGATGATGGGAACGGACTCAGGTGAGACTCTCCAACCATCTATGAAACAGACCTAACGAAGATGTGAAAAGGTTCTTACGTGGAAATCAGAGCAACATCTGGTACCGCACATTACAGGGATACTGCTCCCCTAAGTGAATTCTACTCTGTTGCTATATTTCCCAGTGTTAGGTGGAAAAAAAGCACTTTGTAACCAGCCCAGTCATTATTTTGTTAGCTTTAGCTTAGCATTAACCATGTAAGGCCGAAGTTACCAAACTATTTGCAAAGAGGGCCAAATTTTATAGTGATTTAAAGTGGGTTTTTCATAAATAGGGGAGGGGCTTAGATTTCACCTTTCCAGGACTTACAATTGCAGCTTTGGATCTCATTCCTAAGCAGTTTCAGTCTAGGTCACACATTCCTGCATCTAATCAACACGACTCCCTCTCAATAGAGGCCAACGACTCATCAGGGGTCTCTACCCCTGATGAGTCGTTGGCCTGGGGTACTCGGAGGCAGTTTCGGCTTGTTAAACAACAACAGACAGCTACATCTTATAAGCTTGACTCCCATATTCCAGTCAGAATTGACAAAGCTCCTTGGATGAGAAGCTAAAGAAACCAAAGAAGTTCAGTTGCCTACATCTGAACTCTTTGGATGGCCATGACCTGGATGACTGAGAACCTTCATCAGCATGTTAGCTTCTCTCTGTGGCAGCTCACTGACATGAACAAGTTGGATTTATAACACCATTTTACAAACAGTGTAAGACTTAAGACCAAAGCTGATTTTATATAAAGTCCAGGTGCTTACCAGTTTTTGTTGCTGGTGGTGCCATCGGGCTGGCTGCTGCTCTCGCACCAGGATGAGACGAGATGTCTCTGAACAGCGACACTTGTAGTAATAATGTAATTTAAACACATGAAATCTTACACTGGAGCGATAATTATCCCTCATTCCACTACGGTGGACGGTACCTCGTCCATTACGATAAGTAGTATAAACATATTTATCCCTGTCTTCCTCAAGAAATATCTGAACTCCAACCTTAGCTGGTAAAAACATGTTCACTGCAAAGCTAAAGATACTTTGAGGTCCGTTTGATTGGTCGCCGCAGTTCATCTCCGGCCACGGTCTCCATCAAAGTTATTTAAAAAAAAAAGGACAGGTTGACTTTACATCCTTGTGTGTTAGTGCAGCTAACCGCACATTTTATTGTCAAATCACCTAACTAAAAGTGAATGAAGGCTACAAATGGGCTTGTTTTGACTTGCTTCACAGGAGTTTCCTCGTGTGTAAATGTTCTAACCTTCATGGCAAAGGGGGCGCAATGTCACGGGCAATAAATTAGGCTTTAATATCTTTGGTAATAAGTTATGAGTGTCTAGGCAGCATGTGGGCTGACTCTTGCTTGTTTGGTCTGCAGAGCCAATAAGAACATCACTCTGATGCTGTCCTGGAATGTGGTCCCAAATGCTGGAATCCTTCCCCTCGTTGCTGGAAGTGGACACATTAGTTTACCTTTCCCTGAAACATATGAAACCACCAAGAGCTACTAGACCAAATGTGCAGCCTGCGACAAGACTCACCCGCACACGGATGGCTTGGTCACGGCCCATTCCAGTTACTTTCCTGAAATGTTTGTAATAAAGAACACATCGGAACGTATGTTTGTGTGAATATTTTGTGCTGTGAGTTGGTTCTAAAATGTTAGTGAACACATTACACCAGTGGTGGGGAGTTGAGTCACACGACTTGGACCCAAGTCAGACGAGTCGTTTTATGACATTAGTCTTGACTTTAGGGCTGCAGCTAGCGAATATTTTAGTATTTGGATATTCTATTACATCTTCCATCGACTAATGAAGTATTCTATTACATCCTCCATCGACTAATGATGTATTATATTACATCCTCCATCGACTAATGATGTATTATATTACATCCTCCATCGACTAATGATGTATTCTATTACATCCTCCATCGACTTATGAAGTATTCTATTACATCCTCCATCGACTTATGAAGTATTCTATTACATCCTCCATCGACTAATGAAGTATTCCATTACATCTTCCATTGACTAATGAAGTATTCTATTACATCATGGTCACCGTAGCATCAGCGACCAGGTGAATGATCCACTGATACTCACAACTAAATTGCTACAGGATTGAATTGGCTGCACCTGGCGGTACAGCGTTTCCTGTTTTCAGTGTTGCACTACGTGTAGCTGTATGGTGTTTGGGGCTCGCTAAAACAGATTTAATTTCTCTACTAGGGTATCTCTGAGTTATTGTAGCACAAAAGCACGCTAAAACACAATTTTCTGTTGTTCCACCTAGCTCTTAGGGAACCATTTGAGTTCGCACGCAGTTTATTTGGTGTTGAGCAGTTTGCTCGTCCAGTTAGCTTAGCCTCAACACGGCTATGGCTACTTCTGTCTCTGCTTCTCCGTCTCCTATCTCTTGCTCTCTGTGTCAGATGTTTAGTTACTCCTCTGCCTCCTTTAGCGATAATGGTACGTGTAATAAATGTAGTATTTTTGTAGCTTTGGAAGCGAGGGTGTCAGAATTGGAGGCCCGGCTCCGCGCTGTTGAAAAACCCGTAAACAGCCGTAGCTACTTAGCTAGCGCAAGTCTAACTAGCTCAGAACAACCCTGTAGCGATCCTCCAGCAGAACCCGAGCAGCCGGGACCTCAGGCCGGCTGGGTGACGGTACGCAGGAAGCATGAACCCAGCCCGTGGGCCACCACCAACCCGTCCATGTTTCTAATAGATTTTCCCCGCTCAGTGACGCACCCACTGACAAGCCGACTCTGATCATTGGCAGCTCCATAGTCAGAAACGTGGCATTAGAGACTCCAGCAACCATAGTTAAACGTTTACCTGGGGCCAGAGCGGGAGACATTAAATCTTACCTGAAACTGCTGGCTAAGGATAAGCGTAAATACAGTAAGATTGTTATTCACGCTGGCGGTAACGACACCCGGTTACGCCAATCGGAGGTCACTAAAATTAATGTTGCTTCGGTGTGTAAGTTTGCCAAAACAATGTCGGACTCTGTAATTTTCTCTGGCCCCCTTTCTGATCGGACCAGTGACGACATGTTTAGCCGCATGCTGTCCTTCTACCGCTGGTTGTCTAGGTGGTGTCCTGAAAACAATGTGGGCTACGTTGATAATTGGAAAACTTTTTGGGGAAAACCTGGTCTGATGCGGAGAGACGGCATCCATCCCTCTTTGGATAGAGCAGCTCTTCTTTCTAGGAACATGGCCAGTTTTATTAGTCCTCCATGACAACCCAGGGTCCAGACCAGGAAGCAGAGTCGTAGTTTAACCCACCCCTCTGCAGCTTCTGTACTGTTACCCACCCACTACCCCATAGAGACAGTGTCCTGCCCACGGCCAAAACCACACAGATTAAATATCAGGCTTAATAAAGCAAATCATGGAAATCTCATAAATATTAGAACAAATTCAACTGAGCAGAAAACTAGAAAAATTAAATGTGGGTTGTTGAACATTAGATCCATTTTTTCTAAGACTTTGTTAGTTAATGAGTTGATTTGTGATAATCAGATCTCTTTGCTCTCTCTCACAGAATCCTGGCTGCAGCAAGAGGACTATGTTAGCTTAAACGAGTCGACTCCTTCAAATTATTTAAATCATCATATTGCTCGAAGTACAGGGCGAGGAGGAGGAGTAGCAACCATTTTTCATTCGAACTTATTAATCAGTCCCTTACAGATTAATAGTTACAGTTCGTTCGAACATCTTATTCTTAGTTTTCCTAATCCAGATAGCAAAACTGTAAAACCACTCTTGTTTGTAGTTTTATATCGTCCACCAGGCCCTTACTCTGAGTTTTTGGATCAGATCTCTGATTTTTTTTTATCTGACTTGGTGCTAAATACTGATAAGGTCATTGTAGTGGGGGATTTTAATATTCATGTGGACATTGAGAATGATAGCCTCAATGTAGCCTTTAGTAATATCTTAGACTCAATTGGTTTTACTCAAAGAATACATAGCTCCACCCACTCCTGCCATCATACATTGGACCTTGTGCTGACTTATGGCATAGAGTGTGAAGAAATAACAATCTTTCCACATAATCCAGTCCTCTCGGACCACTTTCATCAGAAAAACCTTTGAGTTTTTTATAACTGAGTTCTCGAGACATGAAAGTAAATTTCACTATAGTCGGTCTCTATCTGACAACGCAGTTGCATCTTTTAAGAAGAAGAAAAATATCATTTCTATAGCACCTCTCAAGATAAAAATCACGAGGCGCTTCACAAAAACAAAAAATATAAAAATTGTAAAAATAGAAAAAAAGCATTCTGAAAATGTTTAGAAATATATTTAAAATGAGCAAGAATAAGCAATTGCAATTTAAAAGAAAAAATGTTAAGAAAGAGAGAGAGTGAACAGGAAAGAGGGAAATCAGTGGATCCTGAGGAAGGTGGAATAGGTGGGGAGAGCAGAATAAAGAGAGAGAGGTGAAGAAGGTCATACAAAAGCCAGCTTGAACAAGTGAGTCTTCAGCTGCTTTTTAAAGGAGACCACTGAGTCCACTGATCTCAGGCTCAGGGGGAGAGAGGTCCAGAGTCTGGGGGCCACAGCAGCAGATGATCTGTCACCTTTAACCTTTAGCCTGGTGCGTTGCACAACCAGTTGGCTTTGATCACTGGACCTCAGGGACCTGCTGGGGGTGTAGGGACTAAGAAGATCACCAATGTAAGATGGTGCTTGTCCATGTAAGGCCTTATAGACCAGAACCAGGATCTTGAAATGAACCCTGAAGTTGACTGGCAGCCAGTGAAGCTGGAGGAGAAGCGGGGTGATGTGGGTGTGTTTGGAGGACTTGGTCAGAAGCCGAGCACAGGCGTTCTGAACCACCTGTAGACGGTTCAGGGAGGTTCTGCTCAGACACGTGAAAAGAGAGTTACAGTAGTCTAAGCGTGAGGAGATGAAGGTGTGGAGAACTGTCTCAAGTTCAGAGCGGGACAGAATGGGACTCAGCTTAGCAACGTTCCTGAGATGGAAGAAGGAAGAGCCAACAAGAGAACTGACATGAGAATCCAGGGTGAGAGCTGGGTCAAAGGTCACGCCCAGATTCCTGACGGAAGGTGACCGATCTGTGAAATCACAATGTTATGATTTATGTGTTTAATGAATAACAGGACTTTGGGCTAACTGAGCTAGACATCCTGATCCACATAAGGTAAACACATGACACATTGTTCACTCATCCAATCAGAACTTCCTCTCTGATGCGTGGCAGAGCTCTGTGGTGTTTAGTTAATCTGTCCACTCCGATTCGCTAAGAATGATAAACAACTAGCTTAATAAAACAGAACAACACCATTTTAATTCAGTTTTCAACGTTTTCAACGTAGTTCCAAGGCAGTTCCAACGTGAGTTTCAACCAGCTCTCAAATCCATCTGATGCCCATCATCGCTAATTGAAGTACAGACTGGCCAGCTGTATTTTGTACTTTTAAGCTGAGAACTGTCAAGCTGGAAAACTGTCGTTTTATCAACAAGACGACGGTTCCTTCAGAATAAAAGCTGAACTCTATGACCCAATAAGGGGGGGGGGGTCTCTACGTGACGCTGAAACCTGCCGTTGTACCGGGAGACTATCCATAGACTGGTTTGTTGTGCTGCCGACGCTGTTTCACCAGTTCCAGCACCAAGGAGGGTCGAGGACCTGGCATCCGGATCTAACACGGGGGTCTCCGCACGGTACGTAGATCGGCATAGATTGCGTCTCATGTCTTCCTCCTGAAGTCCATCGTCGATCAGTTAGGGCAACAACACCTCGCACTCAGACTCGCCTCCACCAGATGGAGATTCTGAACTGACACACACACCAACACTTCAGCATTACACCCATTTGCATCCATCATTAGAGAGTAAGTCCTGGTGATTGTTTCGAATAATTATAAAATAAATATTCTTAAACATCCCATCTCTCTCTCTCTTCTTGTCTCTAATTCAATACAAGGTGTTTGAATAAAATTCCCTGTAGTAAAAACAACCTCTTTTGATCCTAAGGTCCCGGTCCACAGATTAATGATCCAGCTCAGGTTTAGGTCAGTGATATCTCTGGACCTTAATAAAAGTGTAAGAATATACCAACTATATTCCGCAACAGAGCTCAGGATGTGCTGAAGAGGAAGCAGATAGAGGAGGAAGAGCAGAGGCCCCAGCACAGAACCTTGTGGGACACCATGGGTAAGAGAGGTGGTGGAGGACCTAAACTTGGAGACGGCCACAGAAAAGGAGCGCTCAGAGAGATAAGAGGAGAACCACTCCAGAGCAGATCCTGATAGGCCTACCCAGTCTCTCAGCCTCTCCAGTAGCAGGTGATGGTCAACAGTGTCAAAGGCTGCAGTCAGGTCCAGCAGGACCAGAACAGAACAGTCCCCTGCATCACTGTGAGTCAGAAGGTCATTAGAGACCCTAAGAAGAGCTGTTTCAGTAGAATGAGCTCTACGAAAACCTGACTGGAAGCTATCATAGATGTTCTGTTCATCAAGAGCAGCTGTGCGTTGTTTAGCCACAACCTTTTCCAAGATCTTGGAGATGAACGGAAGTTTAGAGATGGGTCTGAAGCTGCTATGGAGAGAGGGGTCGAGACTCGGTTTTTTAAGAAGCGGGTGGATTACAGCGTTCTTAAAGTAAGAAGGGACCTGACCAGAGAAGCATTAATTATAGAGAGCACGCTGGGACCGATGGACTGAAAAGCACTTTTAAACAAAGATGAGGGTAAGATGTGGAGGGGGCATGCAGAGGTATTCATAGAGTTAACTAGTTTGGTTAACTCAGGCAAAGAAACAGGAGCAAAGCTATCTAGGATGATGGGCCTGGTTGGAGTCGGGAGAGGCGGCGATAAGGCTGAAGGAGAGATGCTAGATCTAACCTTATTGACTTTGTCCACAAAGAAAGACAGAAAGTTCTCACAGTCTGCAACAGAGTGGATGGAGGCTGTAGGAGAGGCAGGAGAGACGATGCTGCTGATGGTGTTAAACAGCACCTTGGGGTTCCCTTTGCTCTGGGACACCAGGTTGGAGAAATAGGAAACCCTAGAGTCTCTGACTGCAGAGTTAAGCCGGGCGTACACTGTGCGACTTTTTCACTCGTAGCACTCAGCTTCAGCTCAAACTACGACTTCCTCGCAGAGCAGATCTCACGAGTCATGTGCTCACACTGTACGACCCAGTTCTCGGAAGCGATCTGACTGCTCACACTGTACGTCTGGTAGCAACACGTCGGCCCTAAAAATATGTTAAAAATAGCAGTTTTTACTCAACACGTCAGACTTTTTTGTCTTGTTTTGCCTGTTGTCCTTCAGGAGAGCTGCAGGAGGACACACAGGGATTTATGGGGGTTGGATGAGGAAAACGAAATAAAAAAAGTAAATCTGTGTTTGGTGATCAGTTTAATTTGACATGAACACGACAAACACGCTTTCTTGACAATCTTTGAGAGTAAAAAAACGTGTAGAAACAAAAACGAACAGCGTGTGTTAATTAGAGAAATAGCGAGCGAGCGAGCGGTGTTGATGCAGGATTGCGCATGCGCCGTGAGCGGTTCTGATACATTTTGGGTCGCAGCTGCTCGCAGCGCTGCTTCAACAGTGCGATACCCTCACGAGGGACGAGCGAAATATTAAACACACCAGAAGTCCGTGCGACCTCACGACTGCTGATCGGCAGCTGGTCACGTGGTGTTAATCGCCTCTCGTAACCCCCTGTACACTACACGACCGCTCGGCACAAAACTCGCCCCGATCTCGTGGATTCTCGCACGAGTGGAAAATCGGCTCAAAAAAGTGAAAAAGTCGCACAGTGTACGCCCGGCTTTAAAGGATGTCAGAAGATCCTTTAGGTGCAGCAGATGGACGTGGAGATGGGTTTTCTTCCACAAACACTCAATTTTTCTGCATTGGCGCTTCAGGCTGCGAAGGCTGTCATTAAACCAGGGAGTAGGGTTCACTGCAGGAACTGATCTGGTTCTGACAGGACAGATGTTGTCCAGAATGGAGAGGCAGTGCTCGTTAAACTGAGAAGTTAAGGAATCTGGGTCGTTATCAGAAGAACAGGGTGGATCAAAAGCAGCAGAAAAAATGCTAGCTGTGCTCTCATTAAGAAAACGAGAACTAACCATACGGCGAGCAGGAGGTGGGGACGCAGAAACTGACAAGTTAAAGAAAATGCATTGGTGATCTGAAATATAAACGTCCTCAGGACAAACAGTGTCAGCATTTAGACTCAGGGTAAAAACAAGGTCTAGAGTGTGCCCCCGGTGTGTGTGGGGCCAGAAACATGCTGGGTAAAGCTGAAGGAGTCCATAAGGCTGGAGAAATTCATGGCAAAGTGATCAGAGGGATCATCAACGTGGATGTTAAAGTCACCAACAATCACCAGTCTGGACAGCTTCACAGTGGAGGATAGCAAGTCACTAAACTCCTGAAGGAAAGAACTGTTTGGACCAGGTGGACGATAGACCACAGCACAGTCGAACGGGTCTTTACGCCCGACTTTAATCAGCTGCAGTTCAAAGGAAGCAAAGGGACCAGAGGTTGTAGAGCTACATGGAAGATGGTCTCTGAAAACAACAGCTAGGCCTCCACCACGACCAGAACCCCGGGGCTGGCTAAGAAAAGAATAACCACTCAGGCCGAGTTCAATCAGACCAGAATAATCAGATGTTTGCTGCCAAACTTCAGTCAGAAACAGAAAATCCAGGTTTTTAGACAGAATTAGATCATTGAGCAGGAAGGTCTTATTGTTAACAGAGCGGGTGTTTAATAGAGCCATGCTGAGTGAGGTGGAGGAATCAGAAACTACAGAAACAGCTGGAGTTAGTGGACGTAAATTAGCAGGGTTAGATCCACGGTGTTTATAAAAACCACTTATGGAGGGAACAGGAGGAGAAACCACTGAGGAATGAGGATAAACCGACCTTAAAAAACTTGGACGGAGAAACCGCCCTGCAACACGGCCTGGCGGGAATGCGGAAGTGGCGCTCAGGTCACCAAACAAAGGACAAGAAGCTAGAAGATCACGCCGATGTTTACCAGATAAACCACGCTTTAAGAGAAGTTTTATTCTCACCTGGATTCCTGCTCGTTTACCTCTTTTCCTCCGACGTTTTCCCGGGATCGGACAAACATCGCTAGAGGTGCGCAGCTCTGGATCGTCGATTGGTTCTGGGCCAGTACGCTGCTCAGGTAAACAAACAGGATGGTACGTCCTCGGTGCATCTTGGGCGATCGTGAACGAACGGAAGGACAAAAGAGTCTGGCGATCATAGGAGATGGTAGCAGGGACACTACTGAAGAGGATCAGACAGGAGCAAGGTGGAAAAGAGGAGGTTAGTGGAGAAAAGTTTGAAAAAGTGGCCGGTGACCGCGGCTAAGCCAAGCACAGGCGCCATCTTGCCGACCGGAAGCAAAGTCAATGTCAATGTCTTTTACTCCATCTGAACAAGTGAAGAACCTGGGTGTGATTTTTGACTCTGAGCTGACTTTTATCCCCCACATAAAAACATAACTAAAATTGGTTTTTATCATCTCAAGAACATTGCCTGGGTCCGCCCCATTCTCTCTCGGGCCAATACGGAGACGCTGATGCATAATTTTATCACCAGTAGATAGACTACTGTAATGTCCTTCTTTCTGGTCTTCCAAAAGAGCACTTCAGGTCTACAACTTTTACAAAACTCAGCAGCTCGTGTCCTGACGAAGACCAGGAAGTGGGAGCACATCACTCCGGTTTTAGAATCACTGCATTGGCTCCCTGTATGTTTCAGGATCGATTTTAAGATACTCTTAATGGTTTTTAAGTGTCGTAATGGTATTGGCCCGTCTTATCTCTCACAACTGCTTTTACCAAATGAACCCTCGCAGTCCCTGCGCTCCTCTGGCAGCCGTCTCCTTGTCATTCCTAAAGTCCAGGCTCACACTCACGGCGAGGCGTCTTTTAGTTATTAGGGCCCTCGCCTCTGGAATGGGCTGCCGGAGGACCTCAGGGTCGCAGAGAACTTTCATGTTTTCAAGATCAGCCTCAAGACCCACCTTTTTAGTTTAGCTTTTAACTGATTACTATTTGTTGCATTGCTTGTTTTACTTATTTATTTTTAATAACTATTGTGTTACACATTTATGTTGTTTTATTTGTACAATCACATTTTATTGGATATTTTACTATCTGTATCAGCTCTTGTTTATTTACGTTTTTATGTTACGTATTTTAATCCTTCCAGTGTTTCCTCTAGGGAGCCCTCTGCCTCGGGACCTTTGGTCGGTGGAGGAAGCTGAGACGCTCCTTGGGTAGTGCCCAGGTAGTGGTAGGGGTTGCCACCCTCCCTCCCAGGGAGCCCTGGATTGGTGTCTTGGCTGCTGCAGTCAATCTGCTGCTGTCGAGGCAGATGGCTCCCTTGATGGAGTGGCTTTCATTACCTGTCCAATCTGAGCTCAGCCTAGTACTTACTGTGGTCTTTTAATGTGTTATGTGTACGAGTGTGTGTGTGCCTGGGAATGGTTTGTGGATTGGGGGTGAAACTGTCATAATTGTTTTCAGTGTGGGAGGGAATGTGGGTTATATGTTTATGTGCTTAGCAGACGCTTTTACCCAAAGCGACTTACAATTTTTATTTTTATTTTTAACCTATAGGGCATGTTGTGATCTGTGGGGGAAACCGGAGTACCCGGAGAAAACCCACGCATGCATGGGGAGAACACGCAACTCCACGCAGAAAGGCCACAGCCGAGTTTCGAACCTGCAACCTTCGTGTTGCGAGGCAACAGTGCTAACCACTGCACCACCATGCAGGTTATATGGGTCACGTTAATCTGTTAAGAACTTTGGGTTGCTTCCTGTGCATGAAAAGTGCTTTATAAATAAAGTTTGATTTGATTTGAAGGGCTCCACATTATGACGTTTTTATGAGAGGGTTGTCAGAAAACGTTAAACTTAGTAATTTACATAAAAAGTAGGTCACACACGGCTTTGACCTTTTGGTATGCTACTTTTGACCAGCTAACACTTTATTCAACAACATAGGAACATGTTGGTGTAGTCTTGGTGTCCTTTAATGTGGTTAAAGGCTATAGTCCTTCTACTCTATTGTATATATATTTATTTAAAGGTAAACAGCGCAACATCACTCAGCTTAGGGAACCAGAACAATAAAGGATGTTAAACATCTTTTATTGAGTGAAGCAGAAGGAAATAAAACCTTTTTGTTAATCCACAAGTGAGGTTTACTGCTTATGGTTTATTAGTGATGATTTCAACATAAAAAACTGTGTGTGTGTGTCTGTGTGTGTGTGTGTGTCTGTGTGTGTGTGTGTGTGTGTTTTATTAGTCCAGGCGCTGAATTAACTTTTCTTCCATCATACAGTAGAGGGCGACATGGGACAGGTCAGAGATGAAGGCGTCACAGGCTCGACGACTGACCCCTTTACAGCCCCGAAGGTCCAGCAGGATCAGAGAAGGCAGCCGCTTCAGATAGGACAGGCAACCGTCTGTCAGCCCATTACAACCTACACACACACACACACACACGCACGCGCGCACACACACACACACGCGCGCACACAGTGAGATGGGCACTGAGACATTGCTTAACGTGAGCAGGGTGTAGACCCCTCTAAACCCACAGGAACTAGCTGCTAACTGCAGTATTGAAACCTCCAGATGTCTAGATCATCACTGATCCAGTAAATGAGATGATGGGTGTGTTTGGACTCCCACCTGCCAGAGTGAGCTCGGTGATGTTGTTGCGGGTGTGGGTCCCAGCAGCTGCTAGCAGGGCCACTGAGGAGTCTGTAATGTTCTTGCAGTGAGCCAGGTCCAGGTTCTCCAGCTGAGGCATGTGGCGCTGCAGAATCCTGAGGGTCGAATCGCTCAAGTCCAGACCAGACAGATGCAGAGTCACCATGTTCCTCAGCCTGCTACGGCTCGACTCCAAACCTACACACAAGCACACACACTTTTACTAACCCTGACCCTAACTTGACAAAGCGTCATATATTGGCTTCATGTGAGCTGCTGATGAGTTACTGACCTCTGACTGTTCAGTTTGGATATTAACTGATGATTTGCTGGCAGAAGGCTGATATTTTGATGTGTATTGGCTGTTTAATATGGTTAAGTTATATTATACGTTATATTTGTTATTCTGCAGAAAAAAAAACACACGAGCAATCATGTTTATCAGCTGCTATCCTGCTACACTTGTCCCGTAAACCACTGGGAATAATAAAGAAGCCAGGATCACAACTGCTATTTCTACTCGTCTCCTTCATGTTCTGAGGGGCTTTAGGCGATGCTCTGGCCGACATTCTCAGTGTAGACAGTTTCAACCGTGATCCAGCGGGGAACCAAAGTATTCAAACACATCATTAACGCATTCACTGCCAGCTGTTTTGTGAACAGACAGCCCCTGACTGCCAGTTTTTACTGTGCTCTATGACCACGTAAACACAAACCCTACCAAAAGACAGAGTAGACTCACTTCTTACATCAGGAAGAATCAGTGTGGTCTAGCATTTTCATGATCTGTTGTTGGAGAGTTAGGGTTAGCTGCAGAAGCTATTCTGCTTAGCGCCTCGCTACAGGCATCGCGGCGTCCCAAAGCCATCTCCTAATTCATGGATTGTCTGCTTCATGATCACATGAAGTGTGACACACATGAGTGAAAATACACTTTAGAGCCGTGATGTTTACTCTTAAGGTGCTCGTTCCCAGGCCCGCCCCATTAAAAAAACGCAAATGATGTCTTGAGTTAACGTCAATTTTCTAAGGTGTTCAAACACGTATGTGCAGCAGTGCAATCCTAGAAATTCTTTTAAAATCACAAGATGTGATGTTTCAAAGGCTCTCTCAGTGGGAATGCACCTACAAGGTGCATGTCAGAAGTAGAACTAGCAAAGCCGCAGGCTGTTCAATTACTTTGCTTCCTGACTGTATAGCAGGCTTGCCAGGCTACTGCATTTCACGTCTTTACTGAAATACATTTGGACTGATAACAAATCCAACGTTTTTAGATCCAACAGTTGCTACCCAGTTACACACTGGCTCTCATGGTAACCACCAACCAGGGCTGGTGGAGCAGAACATTCACTTGGCTCCTTCTGGTTCTACTGACCAGGTGGGAGGATGAGCGCTTTAATCTGGGCATCTGAGAAGCCTTCACACCACCGCAAATCCAGGAGTCGTAGCTGGGGCAGGGTGGGAGACACCAGAGCGGACAGACAGGACCAAGGAAGACCAGTCACCCTCAGCTCCCTCAGACCTAACACAAACCAAAGGATGAAGTAACCATGGAGTAGCTGGATTAGGACAGACGGAGGGTTTGTGCGTCTGGGACCATTTGTACCTGAAAGTCTGGTAAGCAGACAGTTGAGCTGTCTCCTGGCCAGTGGAGTCCACGAAAGGTCGAGAGAGACAGGCTGGCGCTTGACAATGCCTGCCAGGGCCTGGTTACTGAGCGGGCTGCAGCGACTCACATCTATGTGACTCCACAGACGTTTGTCACAAGTCCTTCATGAGAGGGAGAGAGACACAGAAAGCTCCTTCAGCCCATGATCCCAAAGTTTGTGTGCATGTGTGTGTGAGAGGGACCTACCACTTATACCAGGCCTTACAAACACTCATACAGGCCAGCAGCTCCGCCCTCTTCAGGTATCTGAACACTGATACCCACATCTCCTTCTCTCCCCCCCTCTCACCACCCACATCTTTAAAGGATGGCAGAGAGAGCAAGGATGGGGGTGTCGTGGAGGAGAAAGCAGGTGGGGGAGCAGCCTCATCTTCCTCAGAAGAAGATACAGAGTAACTTCCTTTTCCTCTGTCCACCTGGACACGAGGCCTACAAGATCAAACACAAATCATGCAGCAGGGTCAAGGTGAACAGCCAATGTGGCTAACCGTTAGCCATAGCTGACCATGGCAGCCATCAGACATGCTTGGTGCAGGTCAATATGGTGATAGTAGAACATGTAGGGTTCTCTATAGAACACATGGGTCTGGCTCAGATACCCAACCACCTGTTCAAACCTTTTAATACCCAACGACCCTAACCCCGGGGTTACATCGTCTACCTGCCAGGACCTCTCGGGTTCAGACCGTCAGCGCCGTCTCTGAGTCTGGATGCTTTGGAGTGAGCCGCTTTCCTCTGGATGAAGCTGTGCTGAGAACCACCTAGCGCAGCCGTCCTGGGGCCGACGGCAGCTTCCAGCTTAGGAACGATGGAGCCTGGACAGCAGAGAGCCCCGTTAGTGTGCTACTGAAGGCTCACACACACGCACGCGCACACATACACACTTTCACAAACAAACACACACACACACATGTAAACGTACACACATACACACAAATGTACATGTACACACACGAACGTACATATATACTCACGTACACACATACCCATGCACATACATACATGTAAAAATGTACGTATATATATATATATATAATATATATATTTATTATATATATATATTATATATATATAATAAATATATATATATTATATATATTTATTATATATATATAATATATATATATAATAAATATATATTATATATATATACTCACGTACACACATACCCATGCACATACATACACGTAAAAACGTACGTATTTATGTATAATATATATATATATATATATATATATATATACTCACGTACACACATACCCATGCACATACATACATGTAAAAATGTACGTATATATATTTATTATATATATATATATAATATATATATATAATAAATATATATTATATATATATACTCACAAACACACACATACACGTACGTACATAACGTAAACACGTATGTAAATACATACTCACACACACACACATACACGTACATACATACACATGTAAACGTACACACATACACACAAATGTACATGTACACACACGAACGTACATATATACTCACGTACACACATACCCATGCACATACATACACGTAAAAACATACGTATTTATGTATAATATATATATATATATATATATATACTCACACACACACACGTGCATACATACACAAGTACACACGTACGTACACATACACACACACACACACACACACGTACGTACATATATACTCACGTACTTATATTTATTCTCACGTACACATATACATACACACATATGTACTTATATACAGACGTACACAAGTGCACATACAAACTTAAACACAGAAATAAAATCAGGCATGTATCAGTCTCCAATACTACAAGATGTTCTGGTTTATGATGTCATTATGATGTCATCTGCTGCCCTAACTGCTCACCCGTCTGACTTGTAGCTTTGTGGGGGTGCTGCAGGGTAACGGTCAGGTAGGATCCACTCAGCAGCTCATCGTTTAGGTCTGACACCAGTAGGACCGGAGGGTCTGGGTCAGAGTCCCAGCGCCCTTCCTCCTCTGTCTCCTCCTCGTTTTTCATTTCTTCATCTTCCATGGCGTCTCGCTCCTCTTCCTCAGGGTCATACTCCTGCTCCTCGCTGTCATCCCCATGATCTGTCCTGCGTCTCCAGTGACGGCGATGCAGGCGCTCTCCCTCTCTTTCACTGTCACCCTGCTCTTCATCAAAGTCTTCCTCATCCTCATCATCCTCATCATCGTCGTCGTCATCATCCTCATCGTCGTCATCCTCATCGTCATCATAATCGTCATCATCCGACTCCTCGGAGTCATCTCCCCTTCGGTGCATCCTGGACCCCCCCCGGAGCCTCACCCCCCGCCCCCTCCGACCGGCCTCCCTCACCCGCCCCCCTCTCTTCAGTTTGGACCCAGAGCTCACGAGTCCTCCTCTGCTCCCTCTGTGGGACAGGCCTCCTCGCAGCAGACCTCGCCTGTTTGTCCCAAAGGCTCTCCTGGAGGAGTAACTTCCTCCTCGGGCCGACAGCCCCGCCCTTCTCCTCTGAGCCGCTGCATGAACAAAAACACAAAACCACACCAGCAAGAGTTCTGTTACTCGGTAACCGTGACTTGGGTTGAAGCAGTTGGGAGAGCTTTTAGCTCAGCTCTTAACTACACCAACCATCGTCATCGCTGGCCGAGTCGTCCCCGTCCTGGTTGTGAACATGTCGGCGGTAAATCTTAGCCATCCGAGCGTCCAGCAGAGATGACGACTTCCTCTTCTGCACGAGTCAGGCGGGTTGGGTTAGACACGAGACATAATTACACATTAATAAGACAGCACTCGCTGATTTGTGACTGAGCTTGTTTGAAGACCTGAACACTCACCGCTGGAAGGCCGTCACCTTTGTCCCCTTTAATCTGTCACAACCCAAAAATGAAAACAATGAAACACAAGAGAGAGTCTAAAGGAGCTCTACCAGTTCAGACTCACCATATAAACTTTGTGTCATTTTAGGTTTGCTAAACTTGAAACACCTTGTTCAGCGCCCGTTAGCTGTACCGGTTAAAATGTAAGTGCGAAAGATGCAGATTGATGAGATGATAATAAATAATAAAGACAGAATCCACCAGAGATAGAAAAGGATCAGCTGTTCAGTTCTAGGTGCCACAGAACCTGCTTAACAACCCCCCCCCCCCCCCCCCCCCCCCCCGGTGAGCCGTACCTCTTGCTGAGTCAGCCCCTGAACACAGCTGGGACATTCCCAACAGCTGGGCAGGTCCTTGTTCACTACCCCATCGCCTTGAACCTGTAGAGGAAATAATAATACTGATACCACCACCACAACAACAATAATCCAAACGGTGCTGAGGAGAACCATTTTGTTATTGCGGCCAGTCAGTCAGGCACACGCCGCTTTCCTTATGGTTAAAAGGACACTTCAATTTTTCATATTTCAAGTTGTTTTCTAGAGCCACTATGTGCTAAAATCACCATTTACAGGGTTAATGAAAGGCCAGCTAGCATCTATGGGCCCCTGTGGTCAGAATATTGCACGTGAAACTTCAGACTGGGGGGCTGCTCTGTTGGGGGCTGCTCTGTTAGGAGTGGCTCTGTTGGGGGTCGCTCTGTTGGGGGTTGCTCTGTTAGGAGTGGCTCTGTTGGGGGTCGCTCTGTTGGGGGTTGCTCTGTTGGGAGTGGCTCTGTTGGGGGTCGCTCTGTTGGGGGCTGCTCTGTTGGGAGTGGCTCTGTTGGGGGTCGCTCTGTTGGGGGTTGCTCTGTTAGGAGTGGCTCTGTTGGGGGTCGCTCTGTTGGGGGTTGCTCTGTTAGGAGTGGCTCTGTTGGGGGCTGCTCTGTAAGGAGCTGACATTCCTGGTCCTGGAGTCTGGTTCCTGGGTGTTTTAGATCATGAACACATCTGATTTGTTTCATTTAGTGATGAATCACTCCTGTAGACACTAAGGAAAGCTGGGGTTAATTTTGTTAACAAACTATTTTTGGGTTTTTTTTTGGTAACAAAATGATTTTGATGACTAAAACAAAACAAAAACATACACGCCAATACAAATATTGACCGACATATTTGTTGACTGAGAAATGACAATGAAAATGGAAAGAAACGAAAAGCCAATAAGGAAACAGAGGAGATGGGAGACTGGAAAAAAGAACTAATCAGCTAATGGAACTGGCGGGACTAAACGAGAAAAGAGCCAATCAGAGCCCAGCGCCGGCCACTGTTTGAACAAGCTACAACTAACCAGACATCATACACTGATGTTTATGCCGGTGAAAGTTGTGTCCAAAGGGAGAAAATGTCCTCGGCTGGGAGTAAAGCAGTAGATGCGATTATCTGAGAATAATGAGTTCACATCCGGGGTTTCTCCTGGTTTTAAAAGTGTCGTTAGCAGCTAGCAGGTGCAGGAGATGGGGTACTGGAGCTCAGCGAACCAAATCGAGCCATGGAGTAACACGATGCCTATCTTGTCCAATCGTTTTTATTTTCGTGGTGCTGCTGCAGCCAACATGATCAGCGTTCTGTGCTTTTGTGAGAAACATTCAGGTGTCCTACCGAGATCAATCAGTCTAATAAAAACTAATAAATACACCTGAAAACATTTCTTACCTTTAGGCTAATATATTTAATGCTCTAATTGCTGTGATATCATTTCCTGTCACATTTACAAATGTTACTGCACATTACAGATTTGCTTATTTTATTAATACTGAGAAGCACAATTTCAAACTCTCAGTGCTCCTTTTGGTATTTTCCAATAACTATTGTTAGAGAAACAATTATAAAGGAAAATAAAGACAAAGCCCAGGTTAGAAATCTTGGTGTTATCATTGATTCAGACCTGAGCTTCTCTGGACACATTAAGGCTTTAACTACATCAGCGTTTTATCACCTTCATCAAACATCAAGAGTCAGAGGTCTCATGTCCAGACCAGACTTAGAGAAACTCATTCATGTGTTCATCTCCAGCAGGCTGGACTACTGCAATGGTCTCCTAACTGGTCTTCCCAAAAAAACTGTGAAGCAACTGCAGCTTGTTCAGAATGCTGCTGCTAGAGTCTTAACAAGAACTAAGAGAACGGAGCACATCACTCCTGTTCTTAGATCCCTACACTGGTTACCTGTAAACCACAGAATAGACTACAAAGTGCTCCTACTAGTTTATGAGGCCCTGTCCACACGTAGCCGGGGATCTGCCACAACGTAGATATTTTTCTACGTTTTGGCCTGTCATCCACACGAAAACGGAGTTTTTTCACACAAAAACGGATCTTCTTAAAAACTCCGGCCAAAGTGAAGATCTGCGTTTTCTCCGTTTTGGGTGTCTGCGTGTGGACGGACAAAACCGGAGTTTTAAGGTCCGCAACGTCACTTTCCGCGACAAAAAAATGCTGACATCACGTGTGCGACCTGTGTTTACACTAGCCGACAGCATGGAAGCCCTCAGAGCTGCGCTCTGTCACTACCCGATCCATCAATTGTCCAAGCACTTTCTGCTTGTTTGTTATTGCAAGAGGAATTACTGCTCCTTGCAGAAGACCACAGACGAAGGACGAGGTTAAGAACGGGGGAAGTACTGCCGCCTACAGGTCTGGCATGTCCATAACAACGTATTTATCCGGGTACGTGTGGACAGAGTTGTTTTTAAAACGCGGTGGTGTGGATGCAAGTTTTTGGAGGGGCGGATATTCGTTTTCAAAAAACCCCGGCTACGTGTGGACTAGGCCTAAATAACTCAATGGCATGGGACCAGAAAACATGTCCGATCTCATCCCTGTATACACACCCAACAGGGCTCTGAGATCCCTTGGAAACAATCAGCTGGTAGAACCTCGGGTCAGAACCAAACATGGTGGAGATGCATTTAGTTACTGTGCTGCTCACATATGGAATCAGCTTCCCCATGACCTCAGACCTGCCCCAGCCCTAGTGTTGTTTAACCCTAAAAACCCTCATGTACTCATCAGCCTTTACATGAATAGTTTCTGATGCCACGTCATCTCCTCTGCAATCTGTGATGTAACTTTGTCTTTGTCTTCTCCTTTAGCTCTAAACTGTAATTCTGTCTGTGTGTATTTTAATTTGTGTTTTCATATCATGTCCTAATAATTGTAAAGCACACTGAATTGCCTCTGTGTTTGAAATGTGCTCTACAAATAAAGCTGCCTTGCCTATAAATGTAGTTTTACAGTTTTTCTCAAATGCTAAAACACAAAAGCCAATCCTCTAAACCAAATGACCAGTTGTCATTTAGTAAATCTAGCCATCATTTTCCAACATCATAAACGCATTTCACAAGAAGACACAATTCACAAAACACATCCTCCGTTCTCATAAATCTAAACACGTTTCCTTGCTAAAACACAAGTTGCAAAAGAACTCTGCTCATAGTCTCAAATGAAAGCTCATGTGATGCCAAATGCTTGCCACAGTCAGCACTAATTGAACACAATGAACACACCTGTCGTCATTCATTACACACAACCACTCAAAATTGAAGACACTTGTTGCTAATGCTGTGACCACATGTATAAAAGCAAGTTCAGAGTGCACGGTTTGCTGAAGATTCCAAACACAGTGGATGAAGGCAGAGTCAGGGGAAGAGGAATTCGAGTCAGAGGAGGGAGAAGAGCTGGCCATGGAAGAAGAGGAGGAGGCCAACAAGGGAGAGGAGAAGGTCCAGGAGGGAGAGCAAGACAAACTCGCACCATCATTACGGAAGAGATGCAAGCAACAGTCATTTACCACGGCATGACAATGGCTGAAGCAGGACTGAGTCCGTCCAAACCCGAGTAGGTTCATCGTGGCCACCATTATCAGGGCATTCAGACAACACAACAGGTATTGTACTCTATTGCTTTCGTTGTCTCAATATAGTTTTACAAACCAGTGAAAGTAGTATATTGGTTTCAAATCAGTTGTTATTGTAAAACATGTCAATTGACAACACATGTTTCTTTCTTTAGAGTTGAAAGAATGCCACATAGAGGTGGGAGGGTTGCCATATTTACAGCGGCACAAGAAACCATCATTGTGGATATGGTTCGTGAGAACAACCTCATCAGACTCCGGGAGATCAGAGACAAAGTCATTGCCGATAATGTCAACTTTGAGAGCATTGATGATGTCAGCTTGGCCACAATAGACTGAGTTCTCCGGTGCCAAAAGATGCGGATGAAACAGGTCTACAGGGTTCCCTTTGTGCGCAACTCTGCGCGACACAAAGACCTACATTATGAGTATGTGCAAGTAAGTATACATCCATGTTCACAGTACAGTTGGTGCATTTACTGCGTTGCTCAGTGGCCTACATTAGTTATGGACAATACTGTGCTATCTGACTGTTGTTCTGAACACCTGTGCACTTTCACATTTTCACAGAGGATATTACAGTTGGACGCGATGGCCACACCTCATGAGTTCCTCTACCTGGATGAGGCTAGCTTCAACCTGCAGAAACGAAGGCAAAGAGGCCGTAACATCATTGGCCAAAGAGCCATCACTGAGGTTCCTGGCCAACGGGGGTGGGGTGGGGGTGGTATTACTCTTTGTGCGGCCATGGGTTCGGAGCGGCTTGTCCACCGGCATGCTGTTCTTGGGTCTTACAACACCCAACATCTCCTCACCTTCCTAGAGGAGCTAAAAGAATCCTCCTGGACCACCAACAACACCATCCTGGGCCCGCACATCACATTTATGTGATCATTTGGGACAATGTCCGCTTCCACAGAACAAACCAAATCAGAGCGTGGTTCACCACCAACAGTTACCACTTTTTAAAAGTCTGTCTGCCACCTCCCCTTTCCTGAACCCTATAGAGGAGTTCTTCTCATTGTGGAGATGGAAGGTTTATGACAGGCAACCATACACTAGAGAGAACCTCCTAAGGGCAATGGAGCTGGCCTGTGGTGACATCCCAGTGGAGGCTTTACAAGGATGGATTTGCCATTCCAGGGCGTTTTTCCCGTGGTGCCTGGCAAGAGACAATATAGCCTACGATGTGGATGAGGTGATGTGGCCCGATGCAGCTCAGCGACATGATGCCGCACAGTGATTGTGGTGTGTGTGTTGTGAATAAAGTAAATAAATAAAAAAATTCCCACCCTGCTCATGTTTTCAAGAGTATTGTTGGGTGCAACAGATTCTGTTTTTGCATTGAGTTGTGTTACAGTAGTGTACATGCAGACATTTCTATAGATTTATACTCTTGTGAAACTCACAAATCTAAATACCCAATCTGCAGCGATCTAAGAAGATGGGTGCCGGCAGGAGCTCAGGTGGTAGAGCGGGTTGCC